GTCTTTCGTTGGAGACCGTTTGTGGACCACTAAATGTGTTTCGGTTTTATTTGCGAGTTGGGTTGTTGTCTTACTTACATATAAAAGTTTTAACAAAAATACCGAACTCCAAAGTAAATTCAAAAAGGCGGTCCATAAAACCTAACAAAATCAAACGAGTAGAGTTTATCAACCAACGGAACGTTTGGCAAACAACTTTCATATTCCTGACTTGGTACATGCATTTTACAAAGAAGATGGTGGGTTGAATCTGGTTGTATAGCCAACCTTCCATTTCCTTTCTCATTTATAATTATAAAAAAAAACTATTCAAGAAATTGTTGAACAGACTCTACCACAACTTTAAATACTAAAAAACTATTTCTAAGACTTTTGCATATGCCAGTTTCTTAGTCTATTGTTGAACGAATTGGACGCATCAAAACTCGTCTAAAATATCACTCTAATGTTTAGATAACAAGAAAGGCATGGCAATCTGTACTTATGGTGAAGTTTAGAAAGCAAGTTGGTGCCGAATTTTTACAGTTTGAGCAAGACTTAATAAATCGAGCATGGAAAGAGTTTAACTATACTTACGATCCAGTGGTAAGCATAAATAACAAATTTTTTTTTTTTTCATATTCCCGACTTTTGACTCGAAGCATATAATGTTTTCGACAGGTTACCTTCTCTGTGGTAAGACGTTCTATTTACTGTTTTCTGATGATTTTGTCGTGTATAAAAAACATAATAAGGTTGATTTTTTCTCCAAATTGGTCGAAAATAATATAACCCGGATTCTAAAGTCGGTAATATGAAAATATACATTTTTAGTCTTTTCTTTGTAATTTTGTAACCCACACGAGTCTACCTTATTTTTCAATAATTTTAATTTAGTATGCAATATTTTTGAAATTAATGAATCAACAAAAAATGTTGTTGCTTTGAATTTCAGCATGTAAAATATTTTGACTTGATTTTCAGAACGATAGATAATCATATTATTTAAAAGATTTTACAGTAACTTGCGTTTGTGGTTTATAAAAGCTTTTATAGCACCCTAACCATAAAAACATTCTTTTTAAACCATAGCAAAAAGGTCAGTCGTTTACAAAATGAACAGTATATGCATAACTTTGAAACTAGTATCAGAAAGAAAAATCATGAAAGAAATAACTTTTGCACGTTAAATTCACATGCACATATACTGTAAACCAACTTATTTTCGCGGATACTTTAATTCACGTTTATCTCTTTCTAGCCCACTTCGCGGAGATTTAATTTTGCGATTTTCCGATTTACTTGTTGTAGTTAGATAAGGAAAGATCCAAGTTTTAAATTTTGACAACAATTTATATTCGCGTTATTTTTCTACTCGCGAAAGTCGCGAAATTAAATTGCTCGCGAAAATTAGTTGGTTTACAGTACTTGATAATTTGCTTTGTATTTTATTGTAGAATGTCATATTACATGAAAATGTAAAATTATATCAATCTGAATTTACAAATATTACTAAACAAATGGGAAATTACTAAGTGGCAATCAAAAGCTCTAAATGGAGAAAAGCACACAATACCTTGACCAAAATAATGAAGTTTAAAAGCAAAACAGCCCACAATTCAATACACAGATAACAAAATGAACCCTGCGGATGTCGCGGATGACTTCAGGTGCTACCATTTTATATAAATTGGGTGCGTCCGCGCGCTTTTCTGAATTTTACTTTATCAAGAACGCTAAAAAATTACAGCAAAGGATCCAGTTATTCCTGGATATGTGAGGAAGTAAATTGAATAATTGTTAACAAGCCCTACAAATTGTAGAAAAATTGGAAGATACGCCATGGTAGACAGTTCCTGCTCGAATGGTAAGCTTGTGATAAATAACGATAACTTATTTGGATGATTTTCTGATATTTCTGAAGTTGATGCAGATTATCTAAATTCATTTACAGCAACTTTTTCTTTAAAAACAATTTACACATTTTTCATATTTTTAATAGTTCAAATGTTTCTCATTTATAGCCAGGACCTGTTGAAATAGCTTATTACGACTTATTTCTTACTTATGGCCAAATTCTGAATGAAACCATAGCAGAGGGCGGAAACTATAGCGATGGTGTTTACATGAAATCGAAAATCAAAGGAAAGACTTTTATAGGTAATAATGACGAAAGGCAAGTGGAGTTTGGCATTATAGTGTTAAGATAAACCTTCTAGAGTTCTTGAAACTAATAATCTTAATGATGACGTGCAACAGCATAGTTTACCAAACGTTAAAACTTACATTTAAAAAATCGCAGGAAACGATATTTAATAAATATCAGGTATATCGGTTTTGATTTGCGAATACAGTGGATAAATTGATTGATTTCGTGTATCTTACTGAGCGTTCAGTGCAAATAGTTCCTACATATTCAGGACTATACAGTGAACATGGCTGGACCTGTTGAAAACTTATTTCAAACGGAATAGCACATTCTTATTTTTACGGTAATGTTGTTTACCGAGCCCGGAAATTAAGTGTTTTTGTTAGATATTGTTTCTGCTTTGTATTGATCTGTTGAGTTTAGCCCTTTTCAACTGATTTGTATAGCTTTTTTCATATGTTGTAGCTATACAACCAGGTTCAATCCACCATTTTATACATAAAGAAATGCCTCTATCAAGTCAGGAATATGACACATGTTTTCCATTCGTTTGACGTGTTTGAGCTTTTGATTTTGCCATTCGATCAAGGACTTTCTGTTTTGAATTTTCCTTGGAGTTCGGTATTTTTTTTTATTTTATTTTTTTATAATGTTACACCGCTGTCCCAGGTTAGAGGGAGGGCTTCAAACAAGTTTACCCGCCACATTTTATATGTGTCCGTCCAAAGTCAGGAGCCTGTAGTTCAGTGGTTGTCGTTGGTTCATGTCTGTCATTTTTGTTTTTTTTTTGTATATTGTTTTATAATAAATTAGACCATTAGTTTTCTCAATTGAATTGTTTCATATTTTTTATGTCGGGGTCTTTTAAAGCCGACTATACAGTGTGGGTTTTTCTTATTGTTGAAGCCCGTACGGTTGTCTATAATTGCTAACATCCACTTCATTTGAACTTTGGTGGATAGTTGTCTCAAAGGCAAAAAAAAGAATGGATAAAAGTAAAACTGTTCACAATTTGATGGAAATATGAAAACAGCAATCGTAAGTTAAAATTAAAGTGAAAAAAAATCGAGTAATATTTTAATGAGTCTAATCTCTCTAGTTGATCAATAATGTTTGTGATTTTTGTTATTTTCTTTACTTCCAGGAATAAAGGGTAACCTTGTTTTTGACAGCATTGGGGCACTGGAACCGGAGTATTCGCTTCACGATATCAATCCAATTACAGGGGAGTTTAAGGTAACTAATAAAAAAGTATAAATACACGTTAACAACTTTAAGTCAGTTGGAAAAATGATTGTTTAATTAATTTACTTGTTAAGAATGACCTATAGAAGATTGAATGGCAATTATGATTAAATTAATCGTGAAATCGATTTCAAATTGTCTCATTAAAATCACCTAATAAATATAACAGAATATGAGTAGTAACAAATCACCTTTTCTGTCTGATAACATATTGATGTTAAAAACAAAACTCATTAATCCTTACACAGTGATGTTGCCAAATAACAAATAAGGGACAAAACATTTCATACCCATTAGTTTTAAATCAGTTCGTAACTATGTTTTCAAATTATTTCATAAATCCGGATATTCCAGTCATTATTAACTGCACCTCATAAGTATGGTTCAGACTACAGTCGTGTAAAATCAAGTTAATTTCAGACCAATTCTGACTGGTCAGGTAAAAATCAGTACAGTCGAGTACAGATATAGGCCATTTCAGACTTTTACCTGTTTGTAGTGTATCATGTACTGCAGATTTTGATCCTTGTTTACCTTTTATATGCCGTACCGATAGCCGGTAATAGGACATGAGATTACCTTTTCTCCGTGGTTACTTGTCCATAAATAAAGACAACAGTAGTAAACCGCTGTTCAATATTTATACATCGATTAAGCGATAACAAATCCGGGTCACAACCCAAACCGAGGGAAACACATAAACTATAAGAGGAAAACAACAGAACAACAGAAACACTGAATGTTATAAACCAAACCCATTTGTCATACAGTAATCTTGACGAAGAACAAATAAACGAAGTAAGATTGCACACTAATTTGTCCTAAAAAGTTTCGTAACTTTGCTTTCAGATCCGAAATAACTTTAATTAGCCGGAAATTTCAGATACCAATAGATACAACACCATAATTCAGTTTTTTTTCAAATTAGGAAATATTACGGCTTAGTAGTTATTTGAAAATCAATATGAAGTGTCCTTGCATTTTTTATTTAGGTCGTCGGAGATTATTTTAGCTTTTCACGACAACTAATCCTAAACAATGCGTCTATTCACTGGCCAGGTGATAAAGGACCACCTAGGAATGAACCTTATTGTGGATTTGTGAATGAAAATGCAGCATGTTCCCCAAAAGGTATATTATGTATTCTTTATTCTGCATTTTTTGCCGTATTTTTCTCTATGTTTTGTGTCCTTTAATCGGTACTTTTGACCATTATTCTCTATTCTGTAAACCCAATCCAGACTCACTAATATTGATTAATGAAAAACATGATATGATCTGGACTGTTGTACTGAAATGTCAGTTGTGATGTCACTATGACGACAAAACATGTTGAAATGGAATATTTGGCTTAATATTGTCATCTTGCACATATGATTTTGGTAGAATAGGTTATGATTCATGGCCTTATCTATCTAAACACATGTTTACCGACATTAGTATCTGTAAGGTTTTATACGACATCTTTTAGCTTAAATATCATTTTGGGGATGTTTTGGAATAAAAAGTTAAAGCAAGAAGTTTAAGTCAAAAGGCAAATAGTTGTCACACAAAATGTAAAAAATATAAATATCGATATCTAACAAACTTGTTTTATGTAAACATCTGAATTTTTTTTATTATAAGAATGGGTGAAGAGACTTTACTCTTAAAAATCCCTGGTAAGTTTAAAAACTAAACATTTCAAGGTTAAAAGAAGTTTATTTGTGAAAAACTCAACAACTGCTTGCATTTATGATAACTGTATTGTATATTGACGATAATGTTACCTACAATTTCATTTCAAGATAATAAGTTTCTTTACAAACTTAAAATTATAATAAATTATTAATTATTTTCAGAATTGTCGTTTGTTCGGATAAGAGACAAAAATATAAAAATAATAAAAGTCAAGACATTCTCTTTATAATCAAGTTTGTTAAATATTCTTTCGGAATAAATCTTGGTGACTTAATGACAAATTATTTTGTTAAAGATTTCAAGAGCTGTCACTCCAAGTTAAGAATTTCTAAAAATGAGAAATTATTCTTTAACATGTTTAAAGAGGAAAGAAATGGTTCAAAGGAGATTACCCATTAGATCAGTTATATGTGTGTACTTACATGAGCAACACAACGAGTGCTACATGTGAAGCAGGATCTACTTACCTTTCTGGAGCACCTGAGATCACCTCCGGTTTTTATTGACGTTCATGTTGCTGTCTTTAGTTTTCTATGTTGTGTTTACTATACTGTTGTTTGTCTTTTGGTTACTTTTCATTTTTTGGCATGGCGTTGTCAGTTTTTCAACTTATGAGTTTGAATGTCCCTTTAATATCATTTGGCCTCTCTCTTATGTTTTTTTGAAAGTGAATTACAACAATACGTTTAAAGCATTCATGTGCAACAAAATAAAAAAAATAGTTTTTGCCGATGATATATTATTAAAAATGATTGACACAAACGTTCCAGTTTTAATAGTGATGAACATGAACCTGGGTCTACCTCCTTTAAACAATAAAAAATTAAAACACATTATAAACTCCATGCGTCCAAAGCGCTTTTCTGGATTTACCTTCATCAATACCGCTTAAAGCCAAATATTTGAAAGTCAAGGATTTGTAAGTACCGAAATAAGTGAAGAGAAATGTGACCAAAAGGGACCTACAATAATAGCCAAACTAATCTAAGGTCAACTCTGCGTGAGGGAGTTGAAACCTTGGTTTCTTAATAAATTCTAGATTTATAAACGGATATTTAAAGAAATTTTTGTTATAAATCATGTCAGTTCCAAACAACTGGATACTGAGCTGATGATACCCTCAGGGACCTCGGGGACTAATGGTGCACCAGCAGTGGTATCGACCCAGTGCTTTAACAAAATGAAATAACACTATATAAAAGTTTTATGCATCCAAAGCGTTTTTTTTTCTGGATTAACCTTCATCAGGAACGCTCAAAACCAAATATTTGATTCCCAAAAAATGTTTCGTGGATATGTTTCAATGAAACTTTCATCAAATTTTTGCTTCAGAGTTGAACGTGTTGGCGATAGTTGCTGGGTCTCTGGTTGGTATGGTTGTTTTTATATTGCTTGTTGTGCTTTTTGGATACAGGTGAGTGAATTATACAATAATTATTTCATTTGTATCTTAGTATTTATGAGACGATGAAAGATTAAAAAATCAATGTTATATGTTTTTAATCAACTGACTTTTCAACAAAAAAAGTGAATATTAAAAAACACTACAAGATCTATGTTTTTTTTAAATTTATTTGGGTGTCTGTCTCATCGACATATATCACACTGGCCTTTTATTCATAGCAGCACAATAAAAACCAGAAAGTTTTGTTTAATCAAAAAAGAAATAATAGACTAATTGAACTGAATAGTAAAAGTAAGATATACACAGTCCGAGTACATTATCGCAACTTATAAAAATTAACTGTCATATCATTACATTTTATTTAGTGATGACGCATAGCAGTAGAGATAGGGTCAGTTATAACCCCTTTTCAGAACTGTCTGAATATTCTGTCTTTACTATTTTTACAGTATATCTTTACAATGACATTTATCACTACTAGAAAGATATTGATGGATTTAAAAACTGAATCCTCACATTTTCCAAATTATTAGGAGTAGCAGTACCTCGCGTGACACAGTAGTTGTTAAACCGCCTTCCATTAGTTGCGCTATGGAATACTCTTTTCGCTCAGTTGGATGAGAGGTAGCGTACTTTGCCATGGGGTATCGGTTTCGAATCGCGCATTTTACAGTGGTAATTGTTCAAGGAAATCATTCTATTTTGTTATCTGCTTACATGTTGAGGATTACCCTTTCCCGAATTCAGATCAGTTAATGAATCGTTTTAATTTACAGAAAAATGAAAAAAGAAGCAGAGCTTAAAAGTAATTGGTGGAAAATCAAGTCTGGTGATGTCAAATTAAATAACAGTAAAAATAATAGCTATAGTAGTAGACGGAGTCGCCTTTCTATGCTAAAGGTAAATAACCAAGAAAAAGGAAGTTATCACGTTTGTTTCAGACTGTCATTTCTATAACAGACAATAATGATAGGTGGCATTGGTAACAAATTACCCGAATACAGTAGGGAAATCTAGCGACAAAAAAATAATCCCCGCTGCAAAACTTACAAACAACTATTCAATGTTTGACATGTTATCCGCTAGGATGTAATTGATAATAAGTTCGCGAGAAAACGTTCTTGTAATTAGTAATACTTAAAACAAACGAGTCTTCATACAAAAAACTCATCATATGCACAATAACCGTATGTCCATCCGATATATAAAAAAAATGTAATAGGGAACAGCTGGCTGTAGTTTAAGGCGACCATAGTTAACGGATGTTCAAATATCGTAAAGGAGTTACAGTAAGCGTAAAATCGGTTTTACCTATGCGAATAACGTTTTCATGTTCCAACTTCAATGTATTTTCCTTCATGCTGTATACCGTAATTAAGCAACAATAAACATGTATGGAGGAGTTAATTCACTAGGCAAATTCAGATGGCCACTATAAGGACATACACATTTAATACTTATACATCTAAAAGACCGCGGAGAAGGCCTCGGTGGCCGAGTGGTCTAAGTAGTTACTACTGTAATCACTAGCCAGTCAACACTGAGGTTGTGAGTTCGAACCCCGCTCGTGCGGGTGCACTCGACTCCAATCTTAATTGACTAGGATTGTCAGTTTTCCTATCGAAGATCGGTGGTTTTCTCCGGGCGCTCCGGCTTCCTCCACCAATATAAACTGGCCGCCACGAAATAGCCCAAAAGCGGTGCTTAAAAGTGGCGTTAAAACACCAAAAATCTACATCAAATCAAATCTAAAAGACCGCACATGTCTGTGCAAAAGTTTGATACGAATTTATATTACCATAACTGTTAAAACAGATAATATTTTTGTATAGATAAATATTATTTGTTTTTAATCTAAACAGACAACCTTTGGAGCATTAAATTCTCACAACGATAATATTATTTGATATTGAAAGTTACCCTAAAAATTAGTTGACCAATGTGATAAACTTTGATATAAAAAGAGGTACATGTAGATTTCGGTAAGTCATACAACTATAATATTAAGAAACTGGGTTTGGATTATGACAAATGTTAACAAATATCTGTGAAAATATCTGTATCCAAAATGTTTTACATGTTTATGATGCTATTGGTGTCACATTATTAACATTAGTGTACTGGTTGGCTAGACTATATTTTCTAATTCATAACTTTGCTATTTTACTCATTGTAGAGTACAGAAGACATTTACTCATATAAGGACACATTTGGTGCTTTTGTAGGAGATCATTGTGGGATGTACCAGGTAAAAGTAATGTTAGTTTAAATGTTTTGAAATAAATGACGTGTTATATCAAATGTATTTTCAGCTTAACCTGCCACTACTTGACGATGAAGTTGTTAGCTTCATTTGCGTAGGGTGACCGTGAGTAATCTATATGCATTTATTTGGTCACTGGTGGATAACTGTCAATATATCAATATGAAAATTAGAAGAAGTGGTATTATTACCAATAAGACAACTCTCCACTAGAGTTCAAAAGGAGTGGCCGTATTGCCTTCTGTATATGAGAAAAAGATCTCATACCGTATAGTCATATTCATCATGTCATATGAATTAATTCTGACAATAAAAGAATTAAGGAAAGAATACTTCCAATGGTAATCTCAAGATATGAGATGTATAATGATTACCAGTGGAACTATTCACAGAAACGAATGGGGGGGGAGGGTCTTTTGTTATGAATAAGAAAAACGGGTTAATGGAAAGACATTTCATCAATTATAGTTTATGTTTTTCTTCTTATTTGACAAGAAAAGTCATTTATTCCAATGCCCACAACCGGGTCCTCTTTTCCTTGATTGTGACATTAACGACTGCATATAGTAGTCGGAATAATACTTGCTATGAGAAACACGACGCGGTTTCTATTAGTTGAGTAGGAATAACGTACCTTTCCGGATCATTGGAGTTGTTCTGTCATTTTTGGAGTGGTTCGTGTTCCTAAATCCTTAGTATTCTGTGAAATGGACTGTTTTATCTTGTCGTCGCTTATTTTTTTTTACCATAGTGATGGCTATTTTATTCGACTGATGATTTATGATTGCCCTCTTGAATTTTCGATATACTTAGGCTTTTCTACCTAAGGAATAGATTACCATAGCTGTATTTGTCAAAACTTTTAGGAATTTTGGGTACTCAATGGTCTTCAACATTGTACTTTACTTGTCCTTTTTAACTTTTTGTTATTCGAGCGTTACTGATGAGTCTTTTGTAGACGAAATGCGCGTCTGGCGTACACAATTTCAATCCTGGTATCTGTGATGAGTTTATTTGGTATTATATTTATCTCTCTTTTCATCCAACATTCTGGATCTGTAAATACAAAACAAAGCAAAATCGATTCTGTCGAAAATTATCGATATTTTTTTACTTAATATTTGAATTTTTACAATTTCAGGGGAATGTTGTGTTTTTAAAGAGAACAAAGCTGACAAATCTAAACTTGAGCCGTGCCAAACTCGTCGAACTTAACCAGGTCAACATGATTTTTTTTGCATTTGGTTTCATTTCTATTTTAACAACACACAGGCAGATGAAAAATTTGTTTTTCAATACATTGAAGATGCATGTATCATTTTAATACCATAAGTTTTCTTTAGTATTAATTGATTTGTTATCATGCCTTGGCATTATCGTTGTGAGGTGAAGGCAATGAAAATTATAACACCGTCACGTTCTGAATATTTATCCCTACATTCTTTTTTTCCCTCATTATCATCGGATTGTACAGCATCAGAATATTATTCCATTTTCGAAACCAAACATGAGGTAAAGAGGAAGTTATATAAAAATGTATTTCATTCGCCAAGGAATGTGTTCAGTCATACAACCTTCCTGTTGGACAGTTAAAGCTTGACCAAGGTTTTGAATGTCGAGAGGGAAGATATGAAAGTTTGCCTAGCGTCTAAAAAGACGAGTTGCGACATATAGTTATAATTACAAATCCGTTTTAATTTATGTATATCCATTACGTGATTTTCAATCTGCCATTACGCTAGTATTGAATATGTTTGAAATTAGAACAAAAGGGTTAAAACAAAAATGTTAAAATAAATTAAAAAAATTTCTCAGCAATAACATTTCTTTATTTATTTTAGTTTTTTTTCCGTTCCAGATTAGAGATTTGACTTGTCCAAATCTGGTAAAGTTTATTGGTTTGTACCACTTTGAAAAGTGTATCTACAGAATCACAGAGTACAGCAGTAGAGGTAGTTTACAGGTATAACGTAAAGCACAATAAGTTGTAGCGGCCATTTTGAATGTCATATTAGACGGAACTCTCAAATGGTTTTAAGTATAAATAGATAGATGTCCAATAAACATCATTAATACACATTAACAACATAACAAAATAAAAAAAAATCAGTCATGCTCAAGACCAAATTTGGAAATCAGGAAATGTAAAACATATAAAAGGAAATAAAGCCAGAAAAGGGATGCCACAACTAGCTAAGATAAACTTGTTTACTGTGAGAATTACCAAAAAGTAGAATAACAAAAATACCGAACTCTAATGAAAACTCAAAACGGAAAGTCCCTTATCAAATGGTAAAATCAAAAGCTCAAACACATCAATCGAATGGAAAGCTACTGTCATATTTCTGACTTGGTACAGGCATTTCCTTATGTAGAAAATGGTGGATTAAACCTGGGTTGATAGCTAGCTAAACCTCTCACTTGTATGACAGTCGTATAAAATAACATTATATTGACATCATTGTGTGAACAAAACAAACAGACATAATAGGTAAAAATGTCAAAATACGGGTACGGCAGTCAACATTGTGATATAATCTTAATCACTATTAAAAAAAAAAAAAGACAAATATGCCTCCAAAGAAAAACAAAATGGCATATAGACAAAGCACATAAGCAAAAATGAAAGACAGGAATACAAAAAATGACCACAAAATTGCACAACTTTTTTGGAATTTTAGGTTTTTAATGTTCTTCAACTTTGTATTTAAGTCGGCCTTTAAACTGTTTTGAGCGTCACTGATGAGTCTTATGTTTAAGAAACACATCTGGAGTACTCAATATTAGAAGACATATATTTCATATAAAGCATATAAATTCATGGGTCTACTTACAACCTACATTTTTAATCGTTTGTATTAGCTCTGTCAATAGTAAGTATCGTTAGTATAAAAATAAATTCCAAATGGATGGTATACCTAAAACGTTTTCACAAAAACTTAAAACAAAAACAATAACTATACATGCTATACTAATTAAACGTTTGTTTTTAGGATATTGTCCAAAATGATTCAATCCATTTAGACTGGGACTTCAAAGCGGCATTGCTTACTGATCTTACTAATGTAAGTTAATAATAACTTTTCGTGCTTTCAGAAACATTCATAATTAATACATTATAATTTCCATATTTATTCGAGCATGTGAAATCACATTTAAAAAAAAATCAATATTTTATTTTTTGAATAGTTTGTTGGTGTTGCTGACTTGCATGACTTTTTTTCGATTCAATTGACCAATTTTGTTCGTTTGGATTTTTGATATAATCCAATAAATCATTCACTTTTAAATTTCAGGGAATGGCGTTTCTTCACGATTCCCTTTTTCTAGTTCATGGTCGACTGAACAGTGAACGATGTGTGATAGACAGTCGATTTGTCCTAAAGATCAACGGATATGGTTTGAATTTCATTCGTGGAGATGATCCCTTAAAATCAGTCAAGAATGAACCAGGTCTTTTATATGTATAAATATCATTATTGTAATTTTGACTAATTTGATTTAAATAGTCCGCCTGTTTTTGTAATAAAAAAAGTGTCTAAATGTGCAATAAGTACAACCATAAAATAAGTAGAAAAAGTAGTAGATTTTACACATCTGTTCGATATTTTTCCACCATTTCTAGCCATCACAGACGTTCCTGTAAAATATTGACGTCATAAGAGAAAATGTCGGACGCAACAATGCAGAAGTAAGTGTTGCATGACGTAAATAGTTCACGTTCTGCAGTTGTGTTATAACCATTATAATAAGAATAATAATCATGAAACTATAAAATATTTCTAGAATATTGTTCCTTAAAATCAATTAGCTCAGTTTATATAAAAAAGTAAATGACAAATGATATTTGCATTCAGAATAAAAATAAATTCCTTTGTAGAATATTTATGGTTTGCACCTGAAGTTTTAAGAGGGAAATGTAACGTGTCACAAGCAGCTGATGTTTATAGTTACTCAATTATCATGTTTGAGGTCCTCACGCGTATGGCGCCTTTTGAACTAGATCTGGATTTATTGACGGTTAAAGGTAAATTCTATTTACACGAATCAAAGTATAATTATTCAACACATACCCTAAGGATGTCCAACTGCTACATCGCCATCGCTTCTAACAACTCATTGAAATTTAATTGCCTAAAATAAGATCAATATAACTTTATTCTACATTAGTTTTCATTGATGTTATTTGAGTTAGAGTTGTTTCCCTTTGCCGCAATGTTGGAAGGCGATGCGCACAAGCTCTTCAAAAGTCATACAAATTCAACTATACTCACTGTTAGAAGTTTTATTTTCTGAACAATTTAATTTATTTAGGTCTTGTATAAATATATTTCATAACTATGGCCTAGATGGTGTCTTTCATCAGGCTTGCTCCAACCAAATGTTTAAATTTGGTCATTCAGATAAGAAAATCATCCAGTTGATTAGATTAACAAGATGCTCTTTATTTCAGCCAATTAATCAGTTACATATATAAGAACTTATTCTTATTGCTATCAAGTTTATATATTTAGCTTAACTTTCTTTTAGTTAAACCTAAGCATGCCTTCATTGGCGTTGTTTCGCGGAAAAGAGGCGGAAGAATGAATCAGTATCGAACACATCCCAATTATCACGTTTTTTGTAAATAATTCAATGTTTTAGAGATTGTTAGTAAGTTACAAGATGATGGACTACAACAACCGTTTCGCCCAACAATGCCTGGTGACACTGAAAAACCAACGATCATTGAGCTGATGAAGGAGTGCTGGGATGAATCTTTATCCAATAGACCAATATTCAAAGCGATAAAAAAACAACTGAAGGCACTAACTGGGTATGCTATATTCACCAAGTTTTTCCAAATTGCATTGATATCTAGGGCTCGGTATAGTTTTCTTTAAACGGATACTAGGTAATAATGTTATACCATCTTCTACGATTGACTTAATTATGAAGTTATAAAAGAAATGCGAAAGGTACCAAAGGGATAATGAAAAGTAGTAAGTCAAAAACGAAGTGACAACGCCATGCCAAAAAATGAAAAAAAAGACCAATCGACAAACATCAGTTTACACAACACAACATAGAAAAACAAAAGACTGAGCAACACGAAACCTACCAAAAATAAACCGAGGGTGATCTCAGTTGCTTCGGAAAGGTAAGAAATATAATCCATCAAAAGTTTTTTTTTATATCAAGTGGAGAAATTTCGTATCTCAATCGATACATGTAAAAAAAGATCTCTGATTTTCATGCCATCCTGTTTGTTCAATGAAGGAAAAATTGTACGTACATGTGTTATCAAAAATTAGCTATTCTTGTGTTTAATAAGAGTGAAATTAAAAGCATAAAAATGCAATGCTCGTTTTGTTATTTTTCTCCGTTAAAGAAATACGCTTGTATGTGTTAATTAAGACACAATGTTCCTGAAAGCATTTATTTTGGTGAATGTGTTACGTATTGTTCCTGGCATAATTTTTATAAAAATATAAAAAAAAAAAGATTTCCTTTATATTAACAAAAATAATGTTAACATTTTCATTGAACCTTCGTGCATCAGTTGAAACAGTTTTCCTTTTATTCATGAACATTTAAGGTATTCTGTATCTTTTCATTTCAAAGTCTGATTTGTTAGAAAAAGAGAGGCGAAAGATACCAAAGGGACATTCAAACTCATGAATCGAAAATAAACTGACAACGCCATGACTAAAAAGAAAAAAGACAAACTGAAAAACAACAGTACACAAAACACAACATAGAAAACTAAAGATTGAGCAACACGAACCCCACCAAAAACTGGCGGTGATCTCAGGTGCTCCGGAAGGGTAAACAGATCCTGCTCCACATGTGGCACCCGTCGTGTGCTCATGTTAGTACATACCCGGCTATTAGTCTAATTCGGAAGTTTACATTCGGGGAAAAGGTGACAGGATTGTAGTTACGATATTTGGAACATATCCGCTATCATCTGTGAAATGGATATTCCATAACGGCCAACCAACTCGTGATGGCGTCCGTAAAATTTACGAAGGGATGATTTCAACTTCACCATTTGGAACTCTTGGTTTAATAGCTTCCTTGTGAGCAGCAAACCCTCTATCAAGGAAATCATGATAGGAAATACAAGCCCTGGAATATCGTATCAACTGGGATATATATACTCCGTATACAGGCGCTGCTCGAATGTTGCTAAATAGAAATGGAAAGTTCACAATTGGGAAGCCGAAATCATCACTTTTGTCGTAAAGTTTTGTTTTCAACCGACCCTCATTGTCAATTTCTAGTCAAGATATGAGGGAGACGTTACTGTATCTGTTGTATCCTTTATTTCAAGTTCGATGGGATAGATGCGTTAGAATTAACTAAACATGTACATTTCGAGAGACGGATTTATAAAAGTTTTTTTCAAATCTTGTTTCCGAATTCCCTTTTTGACTACTTATAAAATTGCACTATTATGCTGTTATAATTTTTAATAATAAATACTTTTTAAACTAAACATCTACACTGATGAACAACAATTATTTGGAGTCCTCACTGTGTAATTACAAATGTTGCAATTATAGGTATCATGATTATTCCCAAGTAGGTATTTTCTTTATAATGTTAAAGTTGAAAGACAATCTTGCAAAAAGAGAACACCATACACTCCAACAATAAAACAAGCGGGATTTTCATTCAAATGAAAAATAAAAAGTCTCTATTTACAGCAACAACAAATCATTTAGAGGAATAAGAAAAGTGAATGAATCAAATCTATAACCAGCAAAAATAACACAACGCATAAGAAAGTTTAACTCCATTTATTTCGCATTTTCTCTCCCGTCCAGTCGTATCAAAATTATAACGTGAAAAAGACATATTTTAATTATATTGATGAAAAATCTTGCTTGCATGTCCTCTATGAACTAAAAAGAATAAGTAAGAATATTGTCTAATTTTTTATAAAGTATTGATAAGCTTTTGTCAGGGATTTCAATTCGCATAAACGTTTCCTTCTGCCTAACTTGTACATTCCATGAACTATTATTTTCAATTGAAAGTAATAACATGAATGGCCCTACAGTTTAACTCTTTCTGAAGATGTGACTGCTTACCTGGTTTCATTCTTAATTCAATATTGTAGAATTTCAAGCAGCCATAACATATTGGATTCGCTTCTCAGACGTATGGAGCAGTATGCTAATAATCTTGAAGATTTGGTCAGTCAACGAACAGATGCATTAATTGAAGAAAAGAGAAAATCAGAAGCATTATTAGATCAAGTTTTACCGAGGTTTGTGTCCATGAATTTGATCTCGAAACCGTTTGTGTAGCCCTGTCAAACGTTTACCAAGTGTAGACTTCGTTAGATTTTAGACCCAGTGTTCTTGAAAAAACGTTATTACATGATACAGGATTTAATCTAATACACAATATGCTGATTATCTCCTGCTTGCAATGCAATATACGGGTATTTTTGTCACCCTATTTGCTATATCTGTTAGAACAAAACAGATAACAAAGAGTTCAAGATATGTGAACATTTATTTCTCATCGGTGTAGCTCGAAGTACAATATATGAATTCTGAAAATATTGATAATAAAAGAACAAGAAACCAAAATAGAATACAAATGACGCTAAAACAAGACAAAGAATACCAGTTAGAATATTCCAAATAAGTGTGTGACATACACTAATGCAACAGTTTTTTTTACGGAAATAAAACGGACATAAAACATGTTAAAAAGGTAAATAAAAAATTCTATTTACTGATAACCCACCACACTGCACTGACTGACGATGTTTTTATATATCAGCATATCTGAGGACTTAAACATCTCTGCAGTCTATTGTAGCTTCCAAAAACTTATAAGAACACGTTTTTGATATTTGGAAATAATTTTGTAATATATATTTGTATGGTAAATTCAACATTAACTAAGATAAGGAGATTATAATTGCCTATATGCATCCTTTAAATACGTAAAAACGAAGGCAATATTTATTCATCTAAAGAAAAAGATTTCTGCTCGTTACTTATTTCAACGCAAACTTAATATCAGAGAATCCGTTTGGAATACGTAAACTGCCAAAGAATAAATGGAGTTGAACGATACAAATGAGAAGACAATAAAATTTACCGCGATATTTTTTTTAAGGAGTGTAGCTACAAAGTTAAAAAATGGTCTTCCTGTCGATCCAGAAGCATACCAGTGTGTAACTATATACTTCAGTGATATTGTTGGATTCACAGCCATATCGGCTAAGAGTAGTGCCATAGAGGCAAGTAAATCTATTGATTTGTAATCATACTAATCATTATTTTTTCACAATATCCTGAAATATTTTATATCATGAAATCCTTGATGTCTTATCACTGTTCCAAACATAGAAATTGAGCTTGAAGATACCACAGACAATTGTGTATTTTCAAAAATTCTGCAATCGTTATCAGCATCTTCTATAAAAATTGATATTCGAGGATATTGCTCACCTTAACTTTTATTGTAATGTCATAATCACAACTAAAACTTTGCAAAATGGTGTATTCTTTCATTTTTTTATTTGGTTGCAGTATTCAACCAACAGCTTTGGTTACCTTACAAATATTTCCGTAGTAGCGAACAAACTTTACTCTGCTTTTGCAATTATTTTCCGCCTTTAATTTCCTTCAGCTGTCAAAACTAGCGCTAACATATTCATGATATTGGTAGCTCTCCTGTGCATGTTTTTTTAACGTGTATTTTACTTTTAAGACATGTGATGTATATAGGTAAGGAGATAATTTGGTATATAACACCGGTTTCCCCAACATTTTCGTTTGCCTGAACCAAGCCGGGCTATCTGAATCAAGTGTTTTTCCTTGTTGTCTTATTTTGTTTGTACTGTCCAATATGTTTGGAAATTCCTGTTGTCTTTTTAATGTATTATTTTCACATATACTAGATCCAGGTAACTAGTTATTATATCAGTAACTTTGGTTATACACCACTATATTGTTTCCAAAATAAAAGCCCGGAGTTATGAAAACTGTTAGGATATTAAAATTGAAATATGGTGAAATAAAAAAGGAACTTCAATTAGACTTCAAACAAAATTCCTCCAATATCACTTTTCTACTGATAAAGGTTAAGTTTTTATAGTTCCCTTGCGAACGTTTTCATAGACCAAAATCGTCCCTTGCGAAATATCAACGTTACATTATATTATATGTTTTCTTTGTCAGGTTGTTGATCTTTTGAATGATTTATACACCATGTTTGATGCCATTATTGACATATTCGATGTGTATAAGGTATGTATGATTAAATATAGTTTCCAAAAATAAAATTCAGGGTAAACTATCAAAACACGCCATGCATCAGATTTTAGATGATTAAAAAGCGTTAGTTAATCAACATATTTTAACGAGGGGATTTACAGCAATATACAGACACAATTCTCATATGATTTGCATATCTACAAATACTTGAATCGGATTGGTCTGTTGGAATTTCTCCCCTTGTGTTACACTTCGATAGACCATGTTGCCTAAACTACTTTCATAACCTTATAATATATTCATGCGCGATACACATTGCATTGGATCTAGGGGTTCCAACCAAATTGAGATTGAAAAACAAAGACATAACATGTATTTCTATTATAATTCATAACAAAAAAGAAATAATGCATTGAAGGTTGAAAAAAATATAATATTTAAATAAATAAAATTCCGCGAAATTTCATGAATAACCTTGGCTTATTAACGTCATGGCAAAACATGACGTCATACGAATAAAAACTGAGGTAGGTGTTTATTCATTTTAGAACATCTATGGGTTTTAGAAAGTCAATATGGTGGCTAACTCCTTAGTTACGACAAGTCAATTGTGCATTTGACGATAAATAGTAGCCACTAAACAAAAAATTAAATTAAAAATTGAAAATGTTTTGGTTAAGAATTATAAGGATTTAACATATTTTTCTAGAGGTTATTGATGTCTTTTATTCAGTTTGCGAGTTAATCGCCCCCGTTTACACATCAATAACCTCTAGAAAAAATGTGTTAAATCCTATAAGGTTTTATATTTTTCCATTCGAAGCTTATAGATATACCATGCAGATTCGTTTTTCGATACGAACACCAATATGAGAAGTAAAGACAAAATACAAAAATAAAAGACACATATGTGAAAAAAACACTTCAATTTCATTCTAAAATTAAGTGTTTAATAAAAAGAAATTGTGTCAAAGCATGTACATATATGATACCAGAGATGTAAAAATAAACAGAGTGGTCGAAATTCAAAAATCCCAATAGGAATCATTCACGACTTTTCACGCGTGGCGGCGCTGCGGTTCCATAAGTGGTTACTTGAACGCTTCAATCACGTAAAACGCTTGCATCTGTATTTACAACGTAAACAATGGCATCCGATGATTACATTACCTGGTATGTTCCAGAACTAACGTTACGTGGAGCTGTCACAAGAGAAAGAAATATAGATCTTATAGAAAGGTAAACGATGTATTTTAAAAAATATTGAGATTTCTTCTATTATAAGCGGAAACGCCGCTACAGTACATGGCCAAAAAGATTTCGTCACCTACATTTTTGGGCTATATATTTCATATAAAAACACGTTTATTGGAGGCATTTATGGTTGTATTTTTACAAGTAATGTGTTGAAAAACGCTGAATTGTATATACAGTGTATTTGTTTGTTTTGTCATAGCTCTGTCATCAGTTGTTTTTATTTTCTCCTGATGTGAACACATATACTATTTTTTACAATTTAATTTGGTTGAAATATAAATATATAGCAAGATTGTTTATAATAGACAATAATATTTATGTTTATCTCAGAAGAAAATGAAAATAAACAAATAATTATTCTGCTGTTGGTACCAAGTTGCATAAAATAAAATCAGAAATGTCCCCTAAATAATCTTTTGAAATGCAATTTTATATGAAATATTTAGTGTGAAATACCAAGTGACAAATACATGTACCCCAAGTTAGAAAAAAAACCAAAAAAAAAAACCCACTGAACATATAAATAGTCATGAATTTATAATTAAACTTTCTAGGATATATACATTTAAATGATTTTGTATAATAATAATTAAAAATAGGGGTTCTATACAGATATTATCTGTTGGCCTTGAAATGTGATACAGACCATGCAGACTGGGCAAGGGAAAATTAAATTTAACTTGTTATATACTGGGACTGTTATACTAATAGTATAATAGTCCCAGTTATATATAAACAATTTATTACTTTTGAAAATGGGACAATTACACAAGGAAAGTATTAAATCCTCCCAATACCACTTTTAAACAAGACATGATTCTACATTTTTAAGCTTTAAATCTTTTAATATGTCTCAGCTTCATCAACTTAAAAAAAGACACTGTAAAAAAAATATAAAGGCCCTTCTCTGCAAACTTTTTACATATAACATGATTGGGCCATTTTTAGAAATTTTTAAAAATATGTACATCTATAATGAAGTTTTATTTGCAATTCAAGTTCAAACAAGGAATTATTTAAATATGGAATAATTTCATATTCTGCAAAATTGATTAGAAAATAATTATGAAAACTAACCCAACTAAATATTTTTTTAAACTTAGAAATGTGGTCCCTATAGTTCTACGTCTTTTTTTAAATCCTATCTGTTCTTGGCAGATAATCTTATAAGATTCTAAATAGTTTTCTAAACTATTATACTCTAGAAAAAAATGTTCCTAAACTAGTAAAAAGGGTTATACCTCTGTTGTTTGAAGGGCTATTAAAACATCTTCCTTTGAATATGGCTTAAATAAATTTTCTCTCCAATAAGAACTTCTTGCTAGAGAGAAAATTTTATCAATTTTTAAGAAAAAATTCGTAAGGGTTCCGCAGAAACCAGTGTCTCGCCTACTTTTGCTGTTAATCGCAGGCTCAACAAAAATGAGAAAAAAAAATTAAAATATTCCTTTAGATACTATCTTTTGATTGTAAGAAGCTTCTGTCAAAGTTTGGTATAAATCCAGGATATTTTATGAATCTACTAAATGTTTTAAAAACTTTAACTGCAGACTGTATTCAATGTTAACTGGAAGAAAAACTAAGTCCATTTATAAGTAAAATACGGATAAACAGGTAAAAATTTTTAACGAAATTTCCTTCTAGATACTAGCTTTTGATCATAAATAAGCTTCTGTCCAAGTTTGGTACAAATCCAGGATAGTTTAAGAAAGTTATTAAAATTTTAAAAACTTTAACCACAGAGTGAATGTATTGTTTCGTGGCAGAAAAATTAAAGTCCATTTATAAGTAAAATACGGAAATTTTTTTTTTTTTTACAAATTTACTTCTGGATACTATCTTATGATTATAAACAAGCTTCTGTCCAAGTTTAGTACAAATCCAGGATAGTTTAAGAAAGTTATTAAAACTTTAAAAACTTTAACCACAGAGTGAATGTAATGTTTCCCGGCAGAAAAAATAAGTCCATTTACAAGTAAAATACGGAAAAACAGGAATTTTATTTTTACAAAATTTACTTCTGGATACTATCTTATGATCATAAACAAGCTTCTGTCCAAGTTTGGTACAAATCCAGGATAGTTTAAGAAAGTTATTAAAATTTTAAAAACTTTAACCACAGAGTGAATGTATTGTTTCGTGGCAGAACAATTAAAGTCCATTTATAAGTAAAATACGGAAATTTTTTTTTTTTTACAAATTTACTTCTGGATACTATCTTATGATCATAAACAAGCTTCTGTCCAAGTTTAGTACAAATCCAGGATAGTTTAAGAAAGTTATTAAAACTTTAAAAACTTTAACCACAGAGTGAATGTAATGTTTCCCGGCAGAAAAAATAAGTCCATTTACAAGTAAAATACGGAAAAACAGGAATTTTATTATTACAAAATTTACTTCTGGATACTATCTTATGATCATAAACAAGCTTCTGTCCAAGTTTGGTACAAATCCAGGATAGTTTAAGAAAGTTATTAAAATTTTAAAAACTTTAACCACAGAGTGAATGTATTGTTTCGTGGCAGAACAATTAAAGTCCATTTATAAGTAAAATACGGAAATTTTTTTTTTTTTACAAATTTACTTCTGGATACTATCTTATGATCATAAACAAGCTTCTGTCCAAGTTTAGTACAAATCCAGGATAGTTTAAGAAAGTTATTAAAACTTTAAAAACTTTAACCACAGAGTGAATGTAATGTTTCCCGGCAGAAAAAATAAGTCCATTTACAAGTAAAATACGGAAAAACAGGAATTTTATTTTTACAAAATTTACTTCTGGATACTATCTTATGATCATAAACAAGCTTCTGTCCAAGTTTGGTAGAAATCAAGGATAGTTTAAGAAAGTTATTAAAATTTCAAAAACTTTAACCACAGAGTGAATATTTGTGGACGACGACGACGCCGACGGAATGTAGGATCGCTATGTCTCGCTTTTTTGACTAAAGTCGAAGGCTCAACAAAAAGTAGTTTTTCATTATTTTATATACATATCATGCCCAACATTCAGCATACAAGAATTTTTCAAAATTCCATTAGTTATACCATTAAATCCACTTGATATCTTGTTTTTCAAATATTTCATGGCAAGCAGAAACCTCCTTTGTAATCCTAACATTTTAATCTATGTAATAGTACTATAAAAAATCTTTACCTACATGTTTTAAAAAAATTCAAACCATTCCTTAGCTTGTTTAATTAAACTTTGGCTGGAACATGAATTAAATATTTGCCACTGGACATTAAGATTCCAACAATCAATTAATATATTTGAACTTGAATCGTTGATTTCTTTCCTTTTTGTCTTGCCTTGACAGAGTCCAAAAGCAAGACATAGCATATATTATGTATGCTGTTTTCAGCGTCATCAACAATGTATTAGTTAGTAAAGTAATATAAAATAGTGAAATATTGCAGACATTTTCTACTGGTAGATATTTGTAACCATGAAAGACAATATATTCATTATACAGTTTTCATGATTAAAAACAGGCACTTGTCTCAGAAAAAAATTTCCTATATACCTTAATATAACACGTGTTATTAAGGTATATAGGAAATTTTTTTCTGAGACAAGTGCCTGTGATTAAACGCTAGCCCTTCAAGCCAGACCAGATACATTTTTTGTAAGTATAGATAATTGTTAATGTGTCAATCCTAGTCAGGAGCCTTTAACTTAATAGTTATAGTTGGTTAATTTCTGATATATATACATATATATTTGTTTTTTTTATTAGCTCACCTGGCCCAAAGGGCCAAGTGAGCTTTTCTTA